CACACACACACACACACACACACACACACACACACACACACACACACACAATTTTAACAAAATCTAAATATAAATGCAAAATCTCCATCCATTTGTTAATTATTTTGGGGGTGGCACCAAGGCAGGCCAATCAGGTGCCAGGGGTGTCACTTGCCACCACAGCCACCCCTCTGGCTCCACCCCTGCTTTGTTGGCATTAAAGTGTGGAAAAAAATGTAGGTTAAATAAAACAGCTAAACACATCAAATATTTTCACTAACCTATGTTTTGTGTAAGTCATCTTTTTGTTTTAAATTTTGTTTAGTTTTGCATAGACTGTAATTTTGAAAAGACTTTCAGAAAAGGACTTTGCATTATTTTTTAAAAAGAATTTAATGTGACAAGTAGAAGAACGGGAGCTGATGACTTTACAAGTTTTAAACTATGCATTCACTTACACTGTTTTATTTGGTTTTATTAGATCTGACATTAAAATAAAAAAGGTTATTGAAACTGAAAATGCCAAACAGTATCAACATCTAAGAATCAGTGCTGCCATACACTGCATGCATGAATCACAGGGAAATACTCAAAGCAGACAAAAAAGATGCTGAAATTGTCACGTTCTGCATTTTCATCAAATGGAAGTGAACAATGTAAGGAAACCATTCTTTCTTCTTGTGGATTCTTGTACAAACTGAGATTAAGGATGTTTAAAGGAAGAAGCAGCTAAAGGGTCAGCAAACACCGCTGTCCATACAACCTACTAAAATGTGCAAATTCCTGTCTTTGTGCAAAAAAAACATTTTCACAACCCTAGCTCACTCAGGCAAATCAAACAATTGAGATGGAAGAAAGGAATCAGGATATGTCAAATTAAAAGGGAAAATACTAATCTTACCATAATGCATATAACAGTTGCCTTTTGTGGGATCGAGCTGTATGGCCTTCAGGAAGTACCTCTCRGCTTCTGTTTTCTGCCCCTGAGAGAGAAGGATTAAAAACATTATCATTATTCCTTCAACCGCTTCTCATGACTGCTCATTTTAAAAATACCACACTCAGCTCAACAGCTAAAATACCTCTGTGTAAACCCAATGTCCCTCTCTCAACCACGGACCAGTTTGAACAATAAATCTTAATAAAAGGACATGAAGAACGTGGACCACAAGTGTTTTTCTTTCAAGCCCATGTCCCGTCCGGCAGAGTGCTCAGTGTCTCACTTGGCACAGAAGAGCAGACGGGTCAAAGTATCGTTCATTAAACACTTTTATCTGTGCAAAGAACACTTCCAGAGCAAAACCGCCAATTGCCCGTTTGTGTGGCCTGACCATTATAAAACAAGGCAGCAAGTGAAACAGGAAAGTGCCGCAGAAAGGAAGAGAGGGGAGCAAAGCAATATTATAGATTTTTAGACTCATACATGGATATGGATCACGCATATTTACCAAAGTTTTATCTCTGTGTACATTGTTGTTGCAGCCTTTAGAGAGATGAGAGAATCAATAGAGGGAGGGCGAGCGCAGGAGAATAAGGAARAAGAACAAAATTGATGCTGTGCAGACCTCCAGAGCTCCCCTCGCGTCATAAAGGCTGTGACATGTAACCAAAGTTCAAACAGTCCAGATATTTGACCAACACAACTGGCAGCTGTGACTGACACATCTGAGCTCTCAGCTGGACAACACGTGCCATCGGATCAACGATTAGCAACGAGCATTCGTCAATCAAAGTGGATGCATTATTAATGCAAACATCCCGATGTGTTGAAACATTTTCATGAATAATTTAAACAATCAAACCGAGACGCTGAAAGGCTCGAGATAATGCGTCAAAGCGCTCGACGAAAGACGCGGGGTTGGAGAAAAGGCTGCTCGAGTTCAAACCAGTCACAAGAAAATAAACTCMTACCCATTCATGACAGTGTAATATTAATGACTGTATACTTAGAGAAATGACACTTTTTTTTCGGTGCGTGTAGCTTCAATAAACACAATTTTCTTCTGTAAATATCCAAGGGCGGTTTCTCTTCAGGAAGCAGAAAATCAAGGCTCTGATAAATATGTTTAATAAACAGAACGTTGAGCTGATGGTGTCCAAAAAGTGATCACAGCTCCTGCCTGAGAAGTATCACTTTTGTATATTTTTGTGCTCCACAGATGTAAGAATGTAGACATTTGATGGCCACATGCTTAAATACTGACAGAAGCTAACATTTGTTTATGAGAACTGAGTTTTCACAGCCTGAAATGAGCTGCAGATGTGACTTAATGAACATCTTGAATTGAGCCATGTCTTGGTATTTTAGGTACTTTCTTTTGGATGCATTTAAATGCATAAACAAAGTAATTATTTGTCTTAACCAACAAGCTGCTAGCAAACAGGGATTTATTCTGTAATTGTAGATAGTGGTTCATCCCTTCAGCTAAGTGCCTTTTTATTCTTGAATAATTCAAAGGTTAAAAAAGCATGCTTTTGTATTGTTCTGGTGTGATTTCTGTGAATGATTTACAGCATTTTATATCATTTGAGACTCTAAATGTGATTGGTTGGACACTCAGGTTCATTTCCTATTCAGGACRGATTCTAAATGGTTGGAAGTCGTTTTCCTAATGAGGGCCAAGTCACTGAAATGTTGCAAAACTGATTCTAACTGCGAGTTTAACAGTGTGTGGGAGTGCTGTTTGTCTCTAGATTAGTTACTCTTGCTTAAACTGAAGCACCTTGAGGCCATTAGCTTTATGAGGGGGTTGAAAACATATAAAAAAGAAACTAAAATCTAATTGTTATTCCAGTCTGCTCGTTGTTTGCACACCGTATCTTTTTCTTGTCGCACGCTGAGCTCGTTTGGGTTTTCCCTCATCTCTTGTCTCTCCTGTTCACATCAGACAAACCGCAGATGCAGAGGTGAACGCCTGCATCATATTAGCAGAGGAAGTGACAGGAAGATGTCTGAATTCAATATCGCAAGCATGGCAGCGGCCGAACACACCTCTGAGCAGTGGTGTGCGCACATCGTTTAAAATCCACCCTGCTTCCTCGTGGTGTCGGCGGAGGCGTATAGGGATCGGAACAGAGGGGCAGCAGTACTGATCTATGTGATTAACTTCTCCTTTTCTCCTTTAGTTTGTCCTACCTTTCTCCACGAATCACAAAGCAGCTTTCTTCTTCGTACATCAGCTACCAGCTCAGCTTTGCCACCGGACCTCTCCCTGACCCCTGCATCTAAGCCTCATCTTCGCAACCCTCCCTACCTCCTCTCGTGGGGATCTGAACCTCAAAACCTCGACAGCATCTAAAGTGTCTTCACCGCTTACAGTTGCTCAACGGGGAGGACGGTAGGGGATGATTTAGAGCCAGAGGGGAAGGTCAACTTCCTGTGCTGCTTTTGATCATGCTTAAAAGGTGCCGACATGACAACAGATGCAATGGTTTAAAAAAAGTTCACATTTACCAGAGCTTTGCATGGTTGGGGACAAGAATTCAATTTTTTTAAAATGCCTTTTACAAAGACTCTAGCCACCCTCCTTTCTGATGACATTATTTGAACCCAGAGGGTCAAAATCTTTTCATCATGAAAAAAAGACTCACCAGGATTCCTCCCTGCAGGTTTGAACTTTCTTTCTCCCTCCAATCAATAATAAATTCCTTAGAAATGAGTTTTTCTTCAAAGGGCATATACATCTTCAGCATGCCGTTAGCACAATGACGCCCCCAAGATTTGGTTTTATTTAAGTTCGGATCTCCACTGGCACTTTTGCATAAATCCATGTCAGTTTAACAAGTGACATACAGCAGATCTGAGCTGCCACCTGAACTATTTGCTCAGATGGTAATCAGTTGCTGTACGAGTGCAGAATGGAAAAATCAACCCAACTTGGTGATGGAACTCAATTTAAGTGATTTATTATCATACAGCTACTACTTATACTAGCAATTAAGCACAAAAATACTTTTACAATTTACAATTTATGCTTAAAAAGGTGATTAAGTCAAAATTATTGGGAAAATCTACAATTTGTAGTATTCAATGGAATTAAAACAAGAAGATATCTAATGTTTTTGTTTTAAGTTTTATGGTTAGCTGAAGTTGTTTTTTGAAAATAAGGGGCAGAAATGAAGATTTTTTTCTTCACTCTGCATCCTTGTCATTCACGGCAGGATTTACTCTTTATTTTTGTCTTATTGTATACAGATTTTTTTTAATGAATGAAATAAACTGAATAAATCAAGGATCAAATTACATTTATTCTTTGGTGACCCCTTTCTCAGGGTTTCTTCAAATTAAAGCAAGTAAATTTAAGATTTTTAGGACTTCTTTAATGCCACTTGCAATGAAATTATTACCAACTTCACAAAAAAAAAAACAAATGGAAAAAAACGTAACAATTTTACCCAAATGTTATTTTTAACATAAAACAAGTAGCTGTGAAAGGCATTCAGTAAATTATACTGTATATAAAAAAACATAAAAGTTACCAATTCTTTTTATTTTGAGACAAATTACAATAATCATACTTACAGTGTTAATATTTTTAAGACCTCTGAACTGATTTTAGACATGTTAAGGCTAGTTCAGGCTTTACATTTGGATTGATGAATTCATTGCCTTTTAAGACTTTTTAAGGATCTGCAAAAACCCTGCTTTCTGTTCAAAATTAAATCTGCACAAACATGCCAAAACAGACGCAAATCATATTCATCAAGACCATATTCAAAATGTTCTGGTCACAATAAACCATTTCTGGAACACTCAATCCTAAAATACCACAATGTTTCATATAAAAAAGTTAAATTTAATTCAGTAACATACACCGATGTTCTAACAATAATCTTAAAAAGGTTAAGATGTTTAAAACTGTAGATAAAATCTTACTGTCATAGCCAGGAGTTTGCCATAAGTGAGGTGTGCAGGAATATGGTCTGGCTTGGCTCGCAGCGATTCTCTGTACCAGTGTTCAGCTTCAGGCAGCTTATTTAGCCTCATGTAAGCTTCTCCTGTGGGAGCAAAGGAAGGGGTCAGATCCAAAGGCAAACTGTCAGGAGCTAAAACATCAAAATACTTTCTAATGGTCTTCTGGCGACATTAATTACAGGATTAACCTTCAGTCCAGTGCTATAAAAAACTTAACTCAAACCTCACTTCTTATCCTTCAGTTAGTCAGATTTTATAAAGGAAGAATGGAGAGTATTTAGATTTTTTAGTAGTGGGTACTATTTTTATTTTACAAGTATGAACTTTGGCAGAACAGTGATGCGAGTCTGCCTCAAGTTGAGCAGTTTAAGTATCTCTGAGACTTGKTCACGAGTGATGGYAGGATGGASCTGGTGATGGATGGACAGATCAGAGTCCGRTCTGCAGTAATCAGGTTATTGCTTCGGTCTGACATGGTGAAGAAAGTGCTGAGACAGGCAAAGCTCTTATGCTCCAACTTTCTCTGATGGTCATGAGGAACGGATGAGGACCGAAAGAACAAGGTCTCAGGTACAAGCTGCTGAAATGAGCTTCCTCCGCTGGGTGGCTGGGCTCAGCCGAAGAGATAAGCGGAGGAGCTGGGG